AGCTCCCATTTCTTCTCACCAGGAACACTTGGGCTGTCCTTGAACCTGACAGGCCAAAGAGCAGACCAAGGAGAAGCAGAGAATCTCTCTGCGTTGGGCTGTCTTTTGTGTTTTCCCAAGGTATGGGCCAGGGCACTGCTGCGTTGGGCGCTCCTGGGGCAGAGGTGGCACAAGTCCTGCAGAGGACAGTCCACTCTCCTCACGGTACCTAGTTGCGAATCTCCTGGAGGCACTCACAGCTGAGGCAGCCCCTCCCCTGCCTTTAGTTTCCTGGAATCCCCAGTTCCGTTGTTCTCCTGTCTTGTATGGTGGGAGGCAGCACAGGTTCAACAGAACTGGAGACCTCACATCCAGAGAGACCTGGCTTCCAGTCCTGGCTCCAGCACCCATGCTTGGGGACCCCTGGGTGGGTGTCATGACCTCTGTGTGCCTCTGTCTCCCTACTTGTGAACCATATGACCTCCAGATTGAGAAAGGCTGGGAGTGCAGAGGTAAGTGAAGCATGCAGGCCTTCCTTTTTTTTATTATTCATATGTGCATACAAGGCTTGGGTCATTTCTGCCCCCTGCCCCCACCCCCTCCCTTACCACCCACTCCGCCCCCTCCCTCTCCCCCCCACCCCCTCAATACCCAGCAGAAACTATTTTGCCCTTATCGCTAATTTTGTTGTAGAGAGAGTATAAGCAATAATAGGAAGGAACAAGGGTTTTTGCTGGTTGAGATAAGGATAGCTATGCAGGGAGTTGACTCACATTAATTTCCTGTGCGTGGGTGTTACCTTCTAGGTTAATTCTTTTTGATCTAACCTTTTCTCTAGTTCCTGGTCCCCTTCTCCTATTGGCCTCAGTTGCTTTTAAGGTATCTGCTTTAGTTTCTCTGCATTAAGGGCAACAAATGCTAGCTAATTTTTTAGGTGTCTTACCTATCCTCACCCCTCCCTTGCGTGCTCTCGCTTTTATCATGTGCTCAAAGTCCAATCCTATTGTTGTGTTTGCCCTTGATCTAATGTCCACATATGTCCACGATTTTTGGTCTTTTGGGCCAGGCTAACCTCACTCAGAATGATGTTCTCCAATTCCATCCATTTACCAGCGAATGACAACATTTCGTTCTTTTTCATGGCTGCACAAAATTCCATTGTGTATAGATACCACATTTTCTTAATCCATTCGTCAGTGGTGGGGCATCTTGGCTGTTTCCATAACTTGGCTATTGTGAATAGTGCCGCAATAAACATGGGTGTGCAGGTGCCTCTGGAGTAACCTGTGTCACAGTCTTTTGGGTATATCCCCAAGAGTGGTATTGCTGGATCAAATGGTAGATTGATGTCCAGCTTTTTAAGTAGCCTCCAAATTTTTTTCCAGAGTGGTTGTACTAGTCTACATTCCCACCAGCAGTGTAAGAGGGTTCCTTTTTCCCCGCATCCTCACCAGATTGAGAAAGGCTGGGAGTATAGAGGTAAGTGAAGCATGCAGGCCTTCCTGATGGCTCTGTTCCCTTTGGTCCCATGGTCGCTTTCTCCCCGGCCTGGCCTGCTGTGGGTGGCAGGGCACGGAGAGCTCTTGTCCCGGGAGCAGGCGCAGTTGTGAGCCTGCCCTTCCCTTCTCCAGGCCTCCTCCCTGCTTGCCTGATGGTTGACCCAGTTAACTCCAGAAAAATACGTTTCTTTCCTTAGCCATCATGTAAAAAATTCCTTTTCTAGATCAAGGGCGGGAAGGTGGAATAATGGAAAAAGAAAAAGGAAGCACATCCTGTTAGGAAGCCGCATGGGGAGAAGAGAGCCACCCCTTTTTGTGAAAATGAGGTCAGGAGGAGTGCTAGTTGGAGGCCTCCTCCAGCCTCACCTCACCTGCAGGCCTCCTCACCTCACCTGCCTCCCTAACTTAACTGAGCCCCTTTCCCCAGCTGATGTGTGCTGGTTGCTTCATGAGAAGCAGGTTTTCACTGTCTGGTGACACCTAGTGCCTCTGGCTCCAGTGCTGTCTCCCGCCAGTTTTCAGGGTGAGTTCTGACACCTTGGTTTCCTAACAGCTTCAAGTGAGCTGTGACGGCTGGGGGATGGGGGCTCTCCTTACAGCTGAGTTGTGTCCCTGCTAAACCCATATGTTGAACTCCCTACCCGGGCCTTTAAAGAGGTGATTGCAGTTAGGTGAGGTGATGGGTGTCCTTATTAAAACCAGAGATTAGGGCCTAGAGGGAAGGCCATGTGAGACAAGGGAAGATGGCTGCTAAAATCTTGATGTCAGACTTCCAGCCTGGCTACATGAGAGGAAGTATTACATTCCCTGGTTCAAGCTTCCACCCCCACAATGTGGGGTCTGTTTCCCCATTGGTCACCCCTTCAACACTTCCTGCTGTTATTGTCATCAGCAGTTATTCTCTCCTCTTCTCGCCTGCCAGCCTCTGTGCAGTGGAGGAGGGGCACACTGACAGGCGGAAAGACCTGCCCAGGTGGGAACCTTTGTGTACACCTGAGCCTCCTGGTCCTGGTCCCTCATGGCCATGTCTGTGATGTGCTAGGAACAAGGCTAAGACTTCTGTCACAGACACTGCCTGAAGTGTCTGGGATCATCCCTCCACAGGTGAGGAAACTGAGGTTAGTAACCACTTCCCCACTGGCAGAGCCAACAACTGAACCCATCTGAGCCCAGACAGACTGATACCACCGCTTGTCCCCTTCAACTGCAAATAAAACGTGGAGCCTCTTCTTGTCCAAAGAGGGAGCCAGGGAGGGTCTGAATAGCGTCCTCACCTTGGATGTTGTAGACAGGTGTTGGGACCCAGGTGCTATCATGACAAGCTGCAGTGAGCATGAAAAGCAGTTGCCACTTGCCCTCGCGCTCCAGGCATCCATGCTTGCCTCCCACCGCACCCCAGAAAACAATCAGGCTGCAGTGTGTTTTCTAGGAGGAGGACTCACTTGCTGGGGGTGGGGGGGTGACGGCTCTTCCCAGGTGCAAGGGTTGCGGCTATGGTGGGTTCGAGAGGAAGGATGACTTTGCAGGCTGTGCAGTAAACAGCTCCTCATGCTGTCCCTACTCTGAAGTCCTTTCTATCCCTGCACACATGTGTAACCAGAGTAAAGGTGATAACCTCTGACCCATGGGGAAAAAAACAAGTCCAAGTTTGCTCCCCAAATAGCCTTGAAAAGTATAGTGTAGTCTTCCTTAAACTTGGTCTAAGAACCAAGAACCAAGAACCATTCTGCTCAGCACAGAGCCCACCTCACACCTCACAGCCTCTTCCACTATCTGAGTTCCTCCAGCACCCCTCCCTGCCCCCAGCCCAGGCCTGTGGCTCCTCTGGCAGGTCACCTGTTCTTGCAGGAGCTGAAACACCATCTCTAGGGTAGGGCAGATGACCCCCATAAAGGTCATCTCTTCCACGTACATAAAGTTATCAGAGATGAAGGGGTTGCTTAAGGTGGCACAGCGGGTCCAGTCAGGGTTCAGATCCCAGCTAGCCTGAGTCTAGCACTGGGACTCCTGACCATAGGGCTGTCCACCACAAGGATGTGACATCCAGCAAGGGGGCGGCTAGATCAGCCTGTAGCTTGTTACCATTTGTAGGAGTTGCTATGTGAGCTTCCCCCGCATGGTGTGCTGTCGGGGGACCATGTACACGCACACTACCATTGAGGTCATCTCGCCTTCCTGTTTCGAAATCTGCCTTTTCCAGTGAACTCCCTGCTATGTGAAAAATGCACCCATGGTCTTCACTTCAGGAAATGTCTTCTCCTGTCATCTACTGGAGTGGTCCTCTGCTGGGGGGCATTCAGGGTGTCTCCTTTCTTCCTCTCATATAAACCGCGCTGGGTGAAGACAGACCCACAGGCACTTCTGCACATCCGCAGGTCCTTGGGATAAATTCCTAGAAGGGAAATTACTGGGAAAAAACATCTTAAGACTTTGGTACACACTTCTGATGTGTCCTCAAGGAAGGCACTACCAATTTTCTTGGTAGATTCTATATGTGGGAGACCCCAGGGCTTTCTCTCCAGAGGAATGAAATGCACTCAGGCTCATTCTGGGTCTGGTGCTGTGTCTCTCCAGTTCCTTCCCAGGCTGCCTGTGCCCCCTTAGTCTCTGTCCCCAGCAGGGACAGCCTTGCTTTGAAGACCTCAGTTTGGAGACCATTCTTGGCTTACAGGAAACCTTGTCTCAGAGAAAGAAGTCTTAGCTCATTAATGAGTGACTTGGCCAGTTGCATTTCCCAAGCTAAACTCCCAAATTCTTTCGGTGTTTATGGATTCTTTGACTTCCAAAAGATTTTTTTCCGTTTATTCCATGACAAAGCTCTGGAAAAGAGGCCACTTCTCCAACTCAAGACATAAATAACCTCAATCTTATTTTTAGTAAATTAAAGTTGTCATTGCTTTCCCTGGCCTCCCAGTTTTTGCTGGGTGGGGACTGGGAAGAAACCAAGTGGGGAGGACTCAGGAAAAGGGGAGGCTCAGGAGAGGACAAGGGTACTCATCCCCAGGTCCCTCTGGGTTTTCATCTGTCCTGTGTGCTGGCTTCTCAGGGAATTTTACATGACGAAAGGAACCCTTAGCAAACTTAGACTATGACTTGAACTCTCTTTTCCTCTTGTGAAAAATGGAGCCTTCCCCTCAGGGCTGCTGAGTGTTTCATGAACTCATTTATTCTGGCTCATGGCAAACACTATTGCTATTCTTGTATTTAGTATCATTTCCAGGTGTTAAAAGCAGGAACTGTGTGGTGGTGAAGGGGGTGAAGGTATAGAATTAGACCAGAGTACTTCAGTGCATTTATGGGACCCTCACCACCACCTGGGGCTTCACCAACCGCACCCCGTCAGGGGTCCCTGCCAGGATACCTTCTGTCAGAGAAGATGGATCTGCAGGGAGGAGCTTGTGTTTCTCCCATCCTTCTGCTCCCAGTGACAGATTATTTCTGCCCAGAAATAAGGACACTTCACAAGTTTGAGAACATTTTTTTAATCACAAACTACATATCCACAAACACATCTATGGGGTAAGCAGTCTGGGCTGGAGGTCAGAACGCCCACTATGGTTACAAGTACACCAGAGACCCAGAGCTCGGAACACTTCCTAGAGCTAAGTAGCGTCACATCCTGCTCCCTTCCTAAGGGCCCTCATTCTCCAGCCAGGGCGTGTCCAGGTTAGTGCCCAAGCCACACTACTCTGAAGTCCTGTCAGCTCTTCTTGTCTAGAGCAAGGCAGGATCCAGGGCCTGGGTTGCCCTCTGTCCTCAGTGCTCTCCATTCTTCCCCTCAGCATCTGGGCACCCGCGGGTAGCCCAGTCCACTTACATAACACCCTCTGTGCGCTTGCTCCTCCAAACCACTAGGGCCGCCACAAGTAGGGTCACCATGATGGGGACCACGATGAAGGGGCAGAGGATGGTGTTGGGTGGGTCACGCACAGCCCTGCCAGAGACAGGGCAGGTGCTAAAGTAGTGCTGATGGATGGCGACAAAGAACCTGTCCACCTCTGCATTGGGCCAGAAGCAGCCCAGTGTGTCTGCCACGTGCCTGGTGCAGTCGGTGAGGTCCTTGTAGCTCCTGTGGGTGCAAAAGGAGGTCATCAGGGGACCCAGCTGGAATGCCCAGCCCTGTCCCCTCAGCAGCAAAGTTCCCCCAGCAGCAGACCCTGAGGCAGTGGCCCTGGATCCAGGTGAGGGTCCTGAAATCTCCCTTGAGCACTCCCAGATGCCTGGTCTTAGTGGCCTGATGGCCCACCACCAGAAGGTCAGGCCCACTTGCAGCCTTGGGCCATGAGTCTGTGAACCAAGCTGGGAGGGTTCTGTGCTGTATTTCCATGTCGCTAACCTGCCAGGGGTCTGCTGAGCAGCTTACCCCACATGATTCAAGTGACAGGGACAACTGAGCTGGTTCCTTCCCTCCAGGTCCCAGCTGCACCACCAGTGGGGAAAGCAGAGGTTGGGGGCTGGGATCTGAGCAAAACGAGCAGGGATGCCTGGCTGCTCAGAGAAATCTTGTGACTTCTGTGGAGATGGTCCCCAGAGAAGCAAAGGACCCATGACCTAAGTGTAGCCCCCAGGATGCTGATGGTGACCAGTGAGCAGAGGGCAGTGCTTTCCAGGAGCTGGCAGAGTGTGTGTGTGTGTGTGTGACTGTGTATGTGTGTGGCTATGTATGTTGTATGACTGTTGTATGTGACTATGTTATTCTCTATGTGTGATTGTGTGTGCGTGATCATGTATGACCCTGTGTGTGTGGCTATGTATATGTGAGTATGACTGTGTTATTTTCTATGTGTGACTGTGTGTGCGTGACCCTGTGTGTGGGTGAGACCCATGAGTCAGTGGAGTGCAGGGGGATGAGCTGAGTTCAGTAGCTGTTGTGACACAGGAAGAGGCTGTGATGTTGGGTTGGAAGGAAGCCATCAGGAGTCACTTCTCCCAGAGGAACAGAGCCCTGGACGTCATAAGCAAGCTCAGCCCAGCCCCTCTTGGGTTTGTCTTGGGACGCCACTCCTTTTGCCTGTGGCGTTTCCTCTAGCCTGGAGCCTGGGAGGCTCCCTGGGGAGAGTCCCCACTGTCCTCTGGTTCTAAACAGCTGGTGGCTGTGAGACTCCCTTTTAAATGTAGCACAAAACTGTTCCTGAGCTGATCCTGCCCTTGGCACTTTTCCTTGTCACTTTCCAGGCCAGGATGTGGGGATCAAGAGCCTTCTTGAGATAGAGGACGCTGAGGCTTGGGGCTCACAGGGTGGAGCCTGGATGCTCCAGCTCTGTCTGCCTCCTGACCCACACGGCCCCCATCCTGACCTCACAGTTGACAAGAGAGCCATGGGACTGGGAAGAAAGGCCTTGGTGGGCTCGGGAGGCCCAGGGACATTCTCAGAGCCTGAAGGCCTCATGGAAATCTTGGTGTCACTTCATCATTGTCACTATCTCCATGACAAATTGGTGCCATCATTGACATCCTTGGGGCACTCATGTGCTGGACCAGGACCCTCAGGTTCACTTACTCCTGGGTACTTTGTTTCCTAGTACCTTACAGAAGGGGTGTTCGAGGCTGGGGAGGGCATGGGGGCTGTTGGGTGGGAGGACTGGGATATGAGTGCTGCAGGTGGCCTCCAGCTCTCTTTCTGGCTTCTGAGGCCGGATTCACCACAGGGTGGACACCTTCCTGGGTCCAAATCCTACTTTGTGGCGATAGAGGTCTCATTGGGTGCCAGCAAGCCCTAAGGCCAGCATGGACCTGTCTGCCTTGTGGGCCTCCAATGTGCCTTGTCCTGTGGGGGCACCTCTGTACATCCATGGTGCAGGTGCAACAGGCACCTGTGAGTGCTGAAATTAAAGCTCACACCAGACTTGCACGTCCACAAAAAGCAAGCTGTGCATGCTGGCACAACAGAACCCTCCTGGGGAGGATCACAGTGGTCACAGTCTCCATTCCAGTGACCTGAGGTACCCCAAGGAAGCAGCCCCAAGATCACTGTCATGTGGAGGCTATGGCTGAGGCAGGGGGCAGGCATGAGTCTCATGGCCAGTCTAGGTGCCTCTAAACACGACTGACCCTGGTGAGGCACAGGTGACCTGGGGCTTTCAGATTCCCCACGTTCCCCAAGAAGGCTGGGTCTGTTGCACTTCTCTGCTAATGTGACCATATGGGAATGTCATTTCCAGAAACTGAATCAGGTGCAGCTCAGTGGTAGGGCACTTGCCCAGCATGCAGGAGGCCTGGAGTTCCATCCCCAGCACCACACAAAAAAAAGAAAAGAGGACAAATAAAAATCACCACTGCTTCTGTTTAAGGTGTGATGGCACCATTTTCCCACTGCTTCCACTGAATAACAGCAAAATTCTGGAGAAACAACCAAACTACACTTTCTGGGGTCCACCAGAGAGCCCAGCTGCAAGGCACCAGAGTTTCACCGGAGTTTCAAGTAGGAGTGGCACAGGACTGCTGCACCTGTGGCAAAGTGGGCGGGGGGGAGCAGATGGGAGGGGAGGGAGGGAGACCCTACTCAGAGGTAGGAGGGAGTCTGCTACACACAGACAAACCAGACAAACAGCCAAAGTTCCAACCTCTCCATGGATTCTGGGGGAGGACTGGCGGCTGCAGCTGGGGTGGGAATAGGCCCCTATATTCAGGGAAGCAAATGTCCTCTGCTGCTGAGAGGGACAGTGATACCGTCCCCCCTTCCCCCCAGGCACAGGTGGACACACTGAGAGAGCAGCAGGAAAGCATCCTGGGCCAAGAATCCTGCACAGTACCCAACAGATGTCTCCCACCATGTGGATGGCAGGAAACTCTATCCAATACTCTAGACACGAGGCCAAGGGTGGCTGCCACCAGGAGAAGGGACAGAGTGCTATGGCCAAGGACACAGGCCCATCTAAGCTGAGGCTGGGCCAGGACAAGGACCCTCCTACCCCTCAATGTGGCCCCAGTACAGAATAACAAGCAGCTGGTGTGTTGGGGCACCTGGGGGCAGCACGCTGTAGCACGGGCAGGCAGGGCACAGCTGGAAGCTAAGAGTCACCCTGAGGACTGTCCAGCATCCCAGGCCCCCCAAGCACAGCCAATGGCAGCCCATGGCCAGAGGTATCTGATGCCTACGGTGCACTGAAGGTGACCACAGTAACAACAAATTCCAAACCCAACTCTACTCCTGCAAGACTGACTTGGACCCCATGCTAACTGCCTGCTGGAAGAGACTCCCCCAGTCCAGATGCAAAGGCTCTTTGCCTCAGTCTCCCGTTCTACACAGCAATGATCAGCAGTCCATTAGAAACTACGAAACCTTTGGTCTGAAAGCAATGAAAAGCCACCAACCCATCGTTAAGAGGAAAACAACAGACGCAGGCTCACAAGGTGACCGGGCACAAAACCTCCGTGCTGTGGTTTGGGGGTGGTTTGTCTCCCAGGGGCCCATGTGTTGAGGCTTGGTCCCCATGTGGCAATGTTGGGGGGCTGCACAGACTTTTGGGAGGTCATTGCGAGCGCTGTCCTTGGAAGGGATTGGCACAGTTCTGGATTGTAGAGGGTGCTGGTAAGAGCCTGCCCCCTGTAGCCCCCAAGCTTCCTGTCTGGTGATGGCCACGCCTGCTCCTGACCACGTCCCACCATTGCCATTTGGCACGGGATCCTCGCCAGAGCCTGCGCTGTGCCGTGTGGACTTTCAGCCTCCAAGACTGTGAGCGTTTCTTCCTGTTTCCTGCCTCGGTATTTCACCACAGTGAGCTCAGCACAGACTTTGAAAGGATTAGCATGGTGAAGAACCATGCAGGAAAGGTAGACAATATGCAGGAATTTCTGCAGAGAGACGGGGCCTACAAGAAAGCCAAAGAGGGATGCTACAAACACAAGGCTGGCCTCAGAGGCGCAGACTCACAGCTGAGGAAGGAGCCCAAGAAACTGAAGACAGATCAGTAGAAATGACCCAGACTGAAACAGACAGAAGAGAGGAAACCCTAACAGGGTATCCAAGAGCGGTAGTAAAATAGCAATGCCATGAACCACCCTAAGCCATGCCACCCCCAACTTGTAATTCAGTCTCAGGGAGCGGGGGGACACAGCAGAGGTATTTGGCAAGACAGTGGCTGAGCCGTCCCCTAACTAATGAAAAGCATCAAGTCACAAACCCAAGAAGCTCCGAAAACCCCAGACAGGACAAAAAAACAAACCAAAACAAAACAAAGCAACAGCCACAAAAAACAGCCACAGAGCCATCGCAAAGCCAAAGTGCTGAAAACCACAGCGGGAGCTCTGGGGGCACCTCTGCCGGAGGACATCTTTAAGGGACAGGGGTGAGGGGGTCTCACCTCTGGCTGCCAGAATCCCATGCTCAGCAAAATACCTCTTCAGAAAGAAGGGAGCCAAGAGAGTTCTTTGCCAACAGATCTGTGCCGTAAGGAACGTTCAAGAAAGTTCTTCAGCCAAAAGAATACACCAGGCCAGGGGGCGGTGGCTCACGCCTGTAATCCTAGCTACTCAGGAGGCAGAGATCAAGAGGACTGGGATTTGAAGCCAGCCCGGGCAAAATAGTTCTCAAGACCCTATCTCAAAAATACCCAACATAAGAAAGGGCTGGTGGAGTTGCTCAAGTGGTACAGCACCTGCCTAGCAAGCATGAGGCCCTGAGTTCAAACCCCAGTACTACAAAACAAACAAACAAATGAAAGGATATATATATATATAAATGCAGCAAAGACCATAGTGGGGGGTGCATAAGAGGAAATGGAGGGGTGCCTCTCAGTGCTGAGCACCCCTTTACCCAGCTTCCGTCAGGGGGCCTCATAATTGCTAGGCCACTGTTTGTCCCCCAGCTGCCTTTGTGTCACTTTCCCCCTTCCCATGACCAGGGCCTCCCTCAGCTCATGTCAGTGTCCAGTGGATGAGGCACAGGGAGGGTGGGTGGGGCAGACAGCAGAGGGCATGAGGACCCATCCCCACTGCTCATGGGTACTGGGTGCACGGCCTTCCCAGGACAGCAAGGACTCACGCTTCAAGTGAAACAGAAGTGGAAAAGGTCATGGGAAGCTGTGATGGGCTGGGTCTCATTCAGAGAAAAAACAAATTAGTGCATGT